ATTTTTTTTTTTTGAGGATTTTCTCCCCCTTTACTGAGTGCCTTCCTGGTGAAATCTGAAAGCACGTCCTGCTAGTAATCGGATAGTTCGGCAAGGGCAAAGCATATTTTTATATTTCCTGCTTCAACAAACCTAATGTTCCTTCAAGTGACGCCTGAACTAAAAGGTCATGCACGGTAATTCACTAACACCAGGATTTAATTATTCGGTCCCCTTCTTCCCAAATATCCTTTAAATGTGTGTGGGAGGTGTAAGGTTTTTCTCCCCCTTTACTTCGTGCTTTTATAGTGTAACTGAAAACCACGTCCGCGTAGGAGATGGAAGGTCCGAAGTACGAGTTCCAGCGAGCGCATTGCACATTTTCCCTTGTTTCAACATACGTATTGACTCTGCAGTTTTAACTGCTTCAAATCAGATTGCTATTTGTGAAGTTGTTACACTATTTTAGAGGAACCATTAATTAGTTATTTATTAAAATCGTTTAGTTACAATCAGAAAATATTTGTATTTTAAATTTAAATTCTTATGCTATTTTTTTTATAATATTCCTAACCCGTACATGCTGAAGAGAAGTACATTGAATCCTTTCTAAGATGACTACCTATTTATTTGGGTTATGTGTGAAGATAGGTCGAATTTGAGAGGGTAGTTTTGATATTTTATTTTTAATAATATTCTTAGATGTATTTGTCAGTTTTAGGTGTGGTCGTCTAAGGAAGCAATCATTGCAATTTTATTTTTTAAGAGATTAACGAACGAGATTATTTTTTGGAGACTAACTCAAAGCAAAACTAATTATTCCCTCAAGCATGCATACATTTAAAAATTAGCTTGGAAGTTTTTGATTGCTCTTGGAAGCAGTTAATAATTCTTCTAAAATATTTACAAATTGCCACTTACTATGCTTTGCGATGAAAAACTTCGGACCATTCAGGCTTCAGTGGTTCTGGCGCTGTTCAGTTCAGCGTGAAAAAAAGGAATCCTTGACATTATTTTCATTGCCACTTAGGATTAATTTCAAGTAGGCACTTATTAGGAAGAACAAAGTGTAATTTTCTTGTCTTTTAGATCTCATGATATGTTGCCTTCAGCTTCGCAAAGAATTCTCGAAATTAAATGAAATAAACAAAACGCAAAGAATGCGATCAGACTATAGCCTAGCAATCCAAAAATACATATTTGTGCACTATAGAATGTTGACTTTTTAAATAGTTCTTGGTCGTTGAGATATTTGTGTACCTTTTTGAAACTTTAAAATGAAGAAGTAATCTGTTGATCCGCAATGCTATTCATCTGCGCAGGATCAGCCACAATATTTGTTTTATGGAAGACGATCCCATAATGATTGTATGCATTTAACGAGACGTTGTTGGCAGCACAGATGATAATGGTAGAATGGTGGATTTCATAGGTCAGGAAAAAATATAGAAACTGCTTTTGAAGACATCTTAATCGAACCATATCAATACACTTTTAAGTCACCATTGTCATAACCCACTTTAAGAACTGAATGCAGCTTTTAGTTTCTGATAAGTCAACTGGAGTGCCTTGTTTTAAAATTTCCATAAATGAATGCAGGAATGCGAGCGGTGGCAGCTCAAACAGGGTAGAATATAACATGATAATTTCAATTCATTGTTAATTGTAAGTTCCTATTTTGTTTCAACTTTAAGCAAAGATACTAAAAACTAAAAAAAAAAAATCGAAAAACCTCTAAACTCTAAAACAAACAAAAAAAAAATGTCGTTATGATTGCCTTATAACTTTTTTTAGCTTGTTTTCCTAAGTAGAGTATGTATTTCGAGTTAGAGTTAGAGTATCTATTTCGAGGAGCTGATTTACCACTTAAGCTGATGTTATCAATTGAAGAATGTTGCCGTAATATAACAATTGCATTCTTTGATGTGTTGATTCAATTGTCAAGCAATTTTTTATCAGGTTAAAAGAATTTTGTAATTCTAAAACGCCGTGTTTCGGTTTGATGCATTTAATGAGAAATGTCGTTCAGTTGATATACTGTGAGATGGTGATATGAGTGGAACCAAGAATATTATTGATATAAACATAGTAAAGCAACACATATTCCTTTATCTCACGCTATTAAAAATGGTTCAAAAACGAACTGTACTTTTAATTCTTTTCCCGCTAATAGGATTATCATGTATTTCGATGTTGATATCATTAATAATGAATACAATTCCTATTTATATGATATAATTTCTGCAATCTTATGTTATCATTTTTTAAAAGAAATACCGTATTATCACGTGCATAAAACATATTATTATGAAACGATGATAAATTTGTAGTGGTGATTATGGCCTGTCTCAAAAGTAATAGGAATGATTTTTTAAAAATAATTATTTTGAACGTGCATGCAATTATAGCTTATCACGCTCAAAACCGACATTTTGTAATCAAAAACAGCTATTCCATTCGTACAGTGATACAGTGGAAGAAGTGTTTATTTGAAATGTTGTTTATACTCGATGCCTGAATGTTTTCCAGAACTATATCTGGTCAAGTTTTGAGCTTGACGTATGAAAGAAATCATACGGAGTTAAGTCAGGGCTGTATGGTACACGGAAATGTGTTGTGATAGTATTTTGATCCAAGATTCTCATGGAGGCAATAATGCGTGACTTGATACATTGCCATGGCGAAAGAATTATGTGATATAACTTCAGGACAGCCATGCACAACTCATTTTTTTAGTTTTAGAGTACATATACCTGTACCTATACGAGTCACATTATTTTCAGTTCTTGAAAGGACGCCATACACTCTGGTCTTCCTCAATGATTCCGTCCAGGTACGTTTTGTATCAATTTATTACTTGGTTTGAAGACAAAGTATCATTCTTATAAACTTTCTTTAGCAACTGTAATGTTTCAGCATTACCTTTAACGTGACTCTTTTTAATTTTCCTCCATGGCAAGATACAGAAATCACTGGCAATTTGCTGCCGAAAGATAACTACGAATGTTGGGAATAACGTGAAAAAGATCAAACTGTGTATCTAGATTCCTCTTCCCTTCTGGAACATTTTTCTTTCCTGTTTCGTCTGCACTGAAAGCGGAAACTGTTTTTATTACTTTTGGGACATTCCGCATATAGATGAAGTGATAAGCAATCTTTTTTATCCTTCATTGACATTTCTAAAGTTTGAGACTTCATGTAACTTATTATAACATAATAGCTATATTAATTATAAGATTGTTACCTATCGCAAAGAAAGATATTTAGATTTATATATATAAAATGTTTACAAGTTAAAGACGAGAGTATGCTTTTGTATATCTGCTTTATATTATTCTAGATATTCAACAAGAAATATCTAATGTTGATCAAGAAAAGGGTCTAAATACAATATATTGAGATAAAAAGTTAATAGGTTTTACTGCTATTGTAAAGGTTGATGAATAAGAGATAATTTAGTTTAATATATTTTATTTTTGAATTAAACTCTGCATGTAAGAAAAGTATGATTTTGAGAAGTGAACTTGAAGAAAATAAATTGCCTTATTTTGGACCAATGCCCTAAGAAACCACGCTCGTAATTTGTTTCAAACATTCAAATTCTCGTAGATGTTTATATTATTGAAATTAAATGATTATTAAAACTGAAAAGAAATTTGGGCTTTTTTCAGAACATTGTTGCTGTATTCTGTTATTAATATTTTTAATATTATATGAATATACAGTTAACCTCTATGAAATTCAATAAATATTTAAGAAATTCATTTTAGTTTTGAAAATGCTTATGCTTAAAGCAGATATAAGATGTAAATTCAATAAGAGTAATATACTTAAATCCCACAAATAATCATATAAAATTGCTTTTGTCATTATCCCTAAGAATTTCTTTAGAAATCATCCTTTATATATATATTGTTGTAAAAATAAATATTCGAATTGTTTACAATTTTAGAAGAAATGAAAGAATAACATTACATTCATTTTATTCAGAAAAAATATATATATATATATATATATATATATATATATATTTTTTTTTTTTTTTTTGCTATTTTCTCAACCATTCGTAGGATTGGGTAATTTATATTTCTCAGCAAATTATTATGAAAAACATTCCGTCCAATCAAAAATGCGAAAATGAATTAAAATTTCACACCCAGCCTTCATACCTTTCCATTGTTTCGTTATCTTCGTTAATAGGTTTAACAAAAGCAATGGTTATCACCAGCCTCTTTCTCTTGTTGAAGAGGACCGTCACTCACTTCGAGTGTTGATATTCAAGTATCTTTAGATAACCGCAACTTATCTTGAGAGAAGAGAATGCAGAAAAAATTTAAGCAGTTTTTAATGAATCAAAGTTTATTTTCTGTTTAAATACAGGGCGATTCTAATTTTATTTCAAATTAAGAGAAGTGATAGTACTCATCCAGATGAGCAATAATTACCATAGAACATAGGGTCGCATTCCGCTCTGAAATGTAGAAAAGAGGAATATTGGAATTCCAGCCTGAACGTGCAACAATGCTGGAAAATAGAATGAATGAGACCAAAAGTTGCGCCATCAGTTTAGTGAAAAACTCACAGAGAATGCACAAAACGGATAAAACCGAAAACGTGGCGTTCGATTGTTAATTCGAGCTCAGACTTTGATGGCAAACACTCAAAGGCACATCTTTGGTTAGGAAGGTCTCAACCTCGCAAACGATTTCAACAAGTTAATTATCTAATCAAGGGCTGAATATTATCAACTGCAAGTCAAGGTAGGTTTGAAACTATCAAGGTAGCAGTTTTTTCCCTCTTCACCATCTTCTGTCCTGTCCTCCTGGACTTACTGTGCTACGCACATTCTATTGGGTTGGAGGGAAAGTTCTGTCGTATTTTAAAGAAAATATTTGAATTCATTTATAAAAATATGTGTTTAATATTAATCAATTATATATGCTCCATTATTTGTTACAACCTGTTGCCATCATTCAGGTAACCTGTAAATTCCTGTTTTGTAGAAGTTCTCATCATTAAAGTTAAAATTAGTCAGCAACTGCCTTAGAAACACTTTCAAAAGACTTGAATTTTTTTCCCATTACATAAATTTTGCAGAGATCTGAACATATGATAATCAGATGGATGCAATGTCAGGTGAATATGGGGGGTGACTAAGGACTTCCCATCCTAACGCATTCAGTTTTTGTAGTGTCACCATTGCAGTATGCGGTCGAGCATTATCGTGGATGGAACATTATTCCTTTTCTGGACGCTAATGCTGGCACCTTTTTTCTTTGATAGCTGCATTCAATTTATCCAGATGATTGCAGTACAGATCCGCGTTGATGTTTTTCCCTGTTTCAGCAACTCGTAATACACTGGACCTTCCTGTCCCACCACAAAACAAAGCAGTACTTTTTGATGGATACTTGGTTTTGGAACTGTTGCTGATGGTGTGTTCCTGGTTTGCAGTAAATTTTTTTCTTTTAATATTCTCGTAAAGAATCCACTTTTCATCTCCAGTAACCAGCCTGTCCCAAAAACGGCTCCACATTGTGTCTATCAGATGTGATGAACATATTCTTACACGATCAGACAAATTCTTTTCCGTTAATTCATGTGGAACCCAAACACTTTGCTTTAACACAAACCCAAGAGATTTAATGTGATCTCCAACAGTTCTATGATGAATGCCAAACTCTTCTGCAATTTCTCGGCTTGTTAAATGTGGATTATTTTCCAACATGGATCGCAAAACATCATTATCGATCTTGGATGGTCGTCCAGATCGAACACTTTCTTTGAGGCTCAGGTCCCCGGAACGAAATTTGCTAAACCATCTTTGACAAGTACGAACATTTACAATATCTTTTCCAAATACCGCACATAAATTTTTACATGCAACAGATGCATTTGCTTCCTTTTTGGAATTCATATAAAATGCAGTGTCGTAAATGCACTTTATTCTACCGACATGTTTTTCCCTTTAAATATTACAAGTAAATGATGAATGGTAAAAAAGGGCACCTTTTATATTATACAGCAGCTAAAAAAACAAAACAAAACAAAAAAAAAAAAAAAAATCCGATTGACTCACTAGCCAGATTTTTTTTTATTTACAAGAAAAATCACCTGCCTATTTAAAATACGACAGAACTTTCCCTCCAACCCGTACTTGAAGCGCTCTACTATGGGATAAGTTCTGACAGCCGGAACACAGCATGAACTTTTCATTCTAATACAGCGAAAGTTAGTTGTAAATATTCAGTCCTTGATTAGATAATTAACTTGTTGTCATCGTTTGAGAGGTTTGCGAACCAAAGATGTGCGTTTGAGTGTTTGTCATCAAAGTCTGAGCTGGAATTAACACTCGAACGCCACGTTTTCTGTTTTATCCGTTTTGTGCACTCTCTGTGAGTGTTTCACTAAACTGATGGCGCAACTTTTGGTTTCGTTCATTCACTTTCCCAACACTGCTGCAAATTCAGGTTGGAATTCTAATACTCTTCTCTTCTATCTCTCAGAATGGAATGCGACCCTATGTTCTCTGGTAATTATTGCTCATCTGGATGAGTACTATCACCCCTCTTAATTCGTAAAAAAATTTAGAATCACCCTGTATATCCTATAAATGTTCAAGGAAATAAAATTGATTGAATCGGTAGGATCAAAAAGATGAAAACAAAAACGGGGAAGTTAATCTAAAAATGGAAGTGGTACATTAGCTATATATAATCCACACAAAACGGTTTTGAGAAGTTTTAAAAAGGCAGTTATTCTTTAAAAGCAATGAGAAGATAGATATAGCAGTGCATGGCCAGATATTAGTCTGCTAAAGAAAGTTATTTCATAAAAAAAATAGTAAAAAAATTTATTTAGGCCAAATGTAATACTTTTTAGATCTAAATGCGAATCGAAATTTACTAAAAGCAAAATATCTATCATTAATTTTAAATATTTAAGTTGAAAATTATGACTTACAATTTAAACACTCTATGTAGTAAATTTTCACAAAATATACGATTATGAAACGACATTTCATGCGGCATTTAAATCTCAGAATTTTCTCAGAATTTAAATATTAGTAATATAACAATAAATTTCAATTTAATTTATTATGCTGGAATAAAACTGATTTTTATTTTATTAAAAAATGCTAATGAAAATGAGTTGTTCTAGAAAACTTAACTTTTTAACGAAATGCACAAAGCTTTTTTTTTTTCTTTTTAAATTAGCTTCGATCAAATCTTGAATATTTTTTATTTTAGTTTTTTACTTATGGAGTGATATTTCACTGGAAATTTTTAAAATGAATATCTATATAGTATTGCCTTTGTTTATGTATATGAAAATTATACGCTAATTTGTTTTGCAATATAGTTGGATATTTAAACCTTATATGATTTTTTTTCAAAATATTTAATCCGTTATTAGACATTCAAAAGTATATAATAAAATTTCATCCCCGAATTAGATTCAAGACCATGCATTTAAAATTTGTAAATATTTGATAATTTATGTTACTGTGCAATTGATAAGTAGGATTAAAATATGTATTATCCATTCCAATGAAAATACCCAAAGAGCAAAACGCTTTATACCTTTATCAAAAATAATATATTATATCGCACTTAAATCTTATATATTTAGCAAATGTAAAGGATGAGGGCAAAATTTAGTCTTCGATTTTTGTAAATGAAGAAACTTAGCCACGGGGCAGCATTAATATTTATTTCATGGGCAGTGTGATATGCTGATGAATAGGTAAGAGCATGATGAGTCATTTTAATTACAGATTTCGTTCAATAAAATTGATTTTGCGTGAGAGGTGGCTCGTAGTTTGCAAAAGTG